AGTTATTTACTTGACCTATTTAACCAACTTATTTAATTAATATATTACTTATGCTTGCACAATTGAAATTATATATATATTATATTTAATATCTATATAATAACAATAATTTTTTAAAATAAAAATATTAAAATACAAACATTAGAAATAAGAGTTAAGGCCTATAGGTTAAGCAAATCGCATATGTAGCAATAATAATTCATATAAATATTAAATTTTAAACTAAACACATAACATAAGTAACAATAACATCTCATATTAAATATTTTCTTTCTTCAAATCAAACAAGTAAATAAGTATCTACCTGCAAATTGCCAATATTGATTAAGTACCAAATATAGGCTTTTGAGTATTTTGGTAGGTACTAAGTTTAGAAAGTTATATTTGAAAATTTTCAAATCAAATATTAAATATATCTCATGTCCGATATGCATTTGAAAATGCCTACCCGTACTCAATCATAAAAAATACATTTTTTTAGTCATTTTGTCTAGTAATTCGTTAAGTTTATTCATATATACATATTTTTAATCCTTAAATTTTTAAGTTAAGAGGCGAATAATATACATTTATTATAAGTTGAGTGACTAAAAATGCATACATTTGAAGTAACTGATAAAAAACTAAAAAAAGTATATTTTTCACTGTTAAGAGGCTAAAACAATGCATAAAAAGTTGAGGGACTAAAACTGTTAAAACCCTAAAATTGACATTTAGCTTTCTTTGAAAAATCTTGTTTAGTCCTGAAGGGTTGATGTTAGACTTAATTTTTTTTAAAATAATTTTTATTTTTTTAAAAAATGAGTTTGAAACTTACAAGTTACAACCGTTTATGATGATGTAATCTTGATTAAAACTACAATTTTTTTTAAAAAAATATATAAACCTCGAGATAAAGAAAAATAAAAGAAAAATTAAGAGAATTCTATTAATTTTAAATAGATCAACTCAAACATTAACGAGAAGTTTTTAATGTCTTCTCTTTTGCGAGAGAACAATTTAAGGGATTTTTATATTTATGATCTGTATTTAATTCAACATCGTCTATAAGATGTTGAGTTTTAGAGATTAGGAGAAGAAAATATTATCTAGTACTAGTACTATCGTGTGGCGACTTAAACCACATAAGGACTCGGGTCTCTATCAGATTGAGGAAAGATCCCTCTCCTGTTGCCAATGATATGCAGCTGTGTTCCCACAGGCTGAAATCCTTGATTTAATAACCCCTTTTGCGAGGTCGAGTACGAATCCATGTTACAAAAAAATTTCTTTCCTCGCTCTTCCAGGGTGGTCCAAAATGTGTAACAATGACAGCGCTGAGACGTATAAATCATAGCGAAATATAACCAATCAAATGGTCGTGGTCCGGACCGGACCAAAGGCCCTTTGGCTGGGGTAGTTGTAAGATTACGCCATGATTGTTGATACCTCGTTGTCGATCAGTATAATTTCCTTGTCTTAATCAAGATTACACGCACTATCCATTAGTACTGTTGATACCTCCCACTCATTATGATAAGTAGTTTTAATTAAGATGCCGGATTGGGATGACTGGCTCTAATTAAAACCATCAGGTAGGGTGTCGTTGGTCCAACATTTTCTGTCTCAATTGAAGGGAAAGAAAAGGATTCTGTTTTTGTTTATAGTGACTGGTGTCAAAATCCGGGTTATGTGATTGCAATTTGCAATTTTTGATCTACAATACCTGAGTTGCTAAATTGATTGCAATCCATTGGATTATTAAGTTATTCAAGGATTAATTTTTTCAAAAAAATATTTATTTTATAATTTTAACTATAAAAAAATTATTAAATAAAAAAAATATAATTTTCTTTTAAATTCAATAGTTTAAGTTGTAAAATATATACCGCACCGAGCCCTTCGGGCCAAGTGGCAATAGCCACCCATGGTGCATTCTCCCCTCACCAGAGCTGGGGTTCGAACCCAGCCCCTTGTAAAATCCGTTAAAAAAAAAAAAAGTTATAAAATATATACTGAATTATTTATTAAACAGCTTTAAATGTTTATTAAATTCCTCAATTCTTAAACCATAATGATTCTGCACATTTAGGGTAAAAGATCTGAGTGATAAGAGTAACTTTCCTTTGTGAAGAAGGGAAGCCTATTATTGTTCCTTTCTCATGCACAAGAAAAAGAGTGAAGTAGAAGAAAGAGAATCTTTGTCTCATAACCATAATAACTAACTACCATTAGCATATTTTGCGGAAGCCGAGGCTACAGAAGCTTCAAACAGTTAAACTATAAAAACTGAAAATATATTAGAGCATGGGAAAAACAAGTTGGGAAATTTAAAAAAAGAAAAAAGAAAAAAAGAGAGAAGAGCCCATAATTGAAATTATATTTCTTCATTTTTATTTTAAGTAGCCACACAAAATGGCTCCCAATTCAGCATATGTCTGTGACCACGCCGCACCTTCCTTGCACCTGCCTGGCCTTGGAAACTTTCCCATCCCAATTTCATCCCCACCATTCCCATTATTTTCCTCTGTATCCTCTCCCCGATGGCCCTCCTCCTCCTCCTCCGCTTCCACCTCCACCTCCACCTCCACCTCCACCTCCTCCTCCTCCTCCTCCTCCTCCTCTTCTTCTTCTTCTCCAATGACTTCCTCTTCTTCGTCATTTTCGGTGACTGGAGAATCCTTGAACAGGCAAAGCCGGAGCCTCCCCTCACTGCGTTCTGCGTGGAAGTAAGGAGGAGGCAGAGGAACTGCTTGGAGAACAAACCTACCACCTTCGCGGTAAGACCTCATCTGAACACCGCCAGAACTGCTAATGGATGTTAGGGGAGGTGGAAAACTGCTCCTCCGGTGCATCCATTTTGAATTTTGGCGCGGTTTTGATGGATTACTAGTTGCAGTTTCCAGAGAAAGCAGGGAAATTTCATCGCTAATTTCGCTAACGTTACTCCCGCTTTCGCTCCCCAAGCTCTCAGTGCACATTTCCAGGCTCTTCTTGCTGAGCATGGAGGCGGAGCGCTTCACCGTGGGATGGACATAGACAGTGTTGCTCATGGTGGAATCTTTGGTGGTGTTAGCGAGGGACTGCAGGAAACTCCACCCACCCGTGTCAGCATTCTGGGTGTTTTTTGTGTGATGAACATTGCCGGCGGCAATGACAGTGGTGTCGAATGCTTTGTTGCTTTGGTCACCGGTGGCCGTAGGGGAAGCGTCTATGGAGGCAGAGAAAGTGGGTTTCAATGTTGCCGATTTGAGCCACGAAACACGTGGTTCATTGACCCTTGGCTCGAGGCATGATTGCAACCCTTGACAGACGCCTGGCGACATTTTCTTATCCGCAATAACAAGGTGGGAAAAAACAGAGGAAAACAGGGGAGAAAACGGAGGATCTCGGGGTTTGGATTAAAATGAATTTTTTAGGGATCTTTTTTTGGGGGGATCAATGGCAAAATTTTAACTATAACTCTACAAAGTTGGAATTGCCAAAAGACTCATGATTTTAATGCTTTTGATTTGGATGTGAATGAAGATAATTTGGCTCGATAAAAGGAGAGAAAGAAGAAGAGAAAGGAGGAGTAAGCATGCAAGAGAAGTGAAAGGAGTGGTATGAATTTATAATGGGAGAGTATAGTCCCCGTATTCCCTAATACCTAGTGAAGGTGAGAGATAAAGGGCTTTTCATGCCCAACTGAATATGCACTTTTTACTCTACCACATATTACAAAGAGATAAAATAAAAAAGAATAAGATAAAATAAAAAGAAAGGAAATAATGGTAAGGAGGATGTGATTCCACATAGCCACATGGGAAAATGATAATTCGACCAAAGAAGGGGAAAAATCCCCATAATTGTCTTTTCTTCTTTACTCATGTCACTTTCATAATTTAATATGTATTCTTTCATTGATACTAAGTGATAATTTTAATGTTCAGAGTACATACCATATTAATAATTTAGTAAGAGATAATGAATTTATTTATTTATTTTTAAAGTGTCTCTATATGATCTTAATAACACACTCTTAAATCATTTTGATATATTTAAAAAAATTGGTGACGACTTAAGAAGTTTGGTAGTGATCTCTTTTCACGAGAAGTAAAAAATTTTGAATTTGAATTACAGAATATGTGGTTGAGGTGAGATAAGGGATGATAGATGATCGTCTCTTATTATGCAATCAAAATAAAAAAAATATTTAAAAAATTAATTTTATTAAGTATTAATTTCAAAATTTAAATCTGAAACTCAACTTATAAGAAAATATATACTTATTAATAAATCTTACCTTTAAATTTAATGATGTATTTATTAATATATATTTATGCAATGAATTGTACTTAAAACTTCAATTCCCTCAAAAATTGTAAAAATGGATATAAATCATATTAACATTATACTGGGTTGATGGTAAAGATACCGAGCCATCCGACTTGAAGGGTTAACTCTTTTCTCTTTATTGTAATTCGGGATCACACTCACACATCTTCTTCATAAAAATCAGCTATGTGTAATAAGATATTATTGAAAATGCATTTATAGAGAGCGCACAAGAGAATTGGTTGTCGTCTCCTCCCAGAACAAAACCAGACATAATGGGGGCAGACCAAAAAACAGAGGATGCTTTGTTCATTGCTTAATATTGTCTTATTTTTCATGCGCACAATATAATTATATTGTTAGGGTCAAAACCTACAGCAGCAGTTGCGAGCTTGAGTGTTGAAACAGAGAATTGAACCCAGCCAAATATGGGAATGCACTCAGGCAAACAATACACAGACTTCATGAAGAGACACTCTGTAGGATTCAATGCTGCTAGCTGTTTATCCCACTTCCCATATATGCTGGTTAATTAGGTTTGAATTAAACTTTAAAAGAAAAAACTGCCTAGTGGTGTATAGACTATAAGGCAGTGATTTAACTTTTACGATATAAAAAACAGAAATATTTTGTACTATTTGAACGACATTAAACTATATAAAACTTACCATTGGTAAAGAAAGAGTCATTGAATGTGGGCTTGTCCTTCCCTATCAATGTCTGCTTCCGTATGCCGACCGTGGCCGAAAAAAATGCAAAGAAAATAGCCGAAAAGCCAAGCTAAACGTGCATTTCATTAAGAGCCTCTCGTAGCATGTAAAGAATTGTTGCACCTAGAAACTCAATTACTAAGTGAGGGTTTAAAATTAACAAGTACGGTATCTGAACTTTTATGCTGCATGCCTCATTTGAGTATTGTAGAGTATATATATATTTAATACAACCGACCAAGAATTGGAAGAATCCAATGGGTGGACAAGAAAATATTAATAAAACCAGACTTAATGTCTTTAAACTTCAAAGGCAAGATGTCCTAACTTCTCTTTCATCAGCAACCATTATGGAGATTATATAAATAACATACTTTTTAGTTTGTGAGTTGAGTAGATTACTTTTCCTTTTTTGTCATACTAGTATGAATTATAAAATATTTGAGAAATGAAGTTGACTTCTTTTTTTCTAGAAAAATGCTAAAAAGGAAATGAAATAAGAAGTTAAACAATCACCAATATATTGTGCACTCAATGTGGGCTCGAGTGCACAAGCACTCCTCTCTTTATTGGTCCCCCTCTATTTTTTATATTTTTAAAATTTTCACTCGGAGAATCTCTTTATATCTTATATTAAGTAATAGTATTTGGGTGTAATGTTCTTTTTCCAGTTATCATTTGTTTGGTAGTTATCATTTGTTTGGTTAGAGAC